ATAGATTCGCTACCGAGTTCGCGTCACCGTTAAAATACTATTAAAATACCAATAATTTATCATTACTACTATTAATATTGTTATTATTATAATTATTATTCTGCGACCGTTTTGAATCGGCGGCGACGGCTTAAACGATTACGTTATCGTTATTAATTTGTTGCGCGCTCGTCCGTGCGGCCGAATCATCGAAATTGAATTATCGCCGAACACACACATGTGGCGTGGCCGACGTTTTTTTATTTTTTTTTTTTTAAAATTTTTTTCCCTTTTCTGTTTTCGTTTTTTTTTTTTTTTTACCCATCGAGGGTATTATTGTCCGCAAAAGCCGAAAACGTTAATATCCGCATTTCATATATTCGTGATGCACGCGCGTGTAGGGAAATTTTGGTAATCCGGTCATGTATCAAACACCCGCCGCCCGACGGTCGGACCGTTCGCGTATCCCGCGTAGGTGGACGTGACGCGCCGCGCCGAGGCCGAGGACCTTTTTCCGACCGCGTGCGTGCGCGCGTGCATTTGCCCGTTCCGGCGGCCAAAGGACCGGAAGGAAGGAAGGAAGGAAGGAAGGAAATGACCCCAATTATACGCGGTACTGTAACGTGCGTGTGCGATACCGTACACATACTCACACATACGTCGCGGACTTCCCGAGAAAGGCGACATGGCGCCCGTACGTATCGGGAACGCGATCAGAACTCAGCGTGCGACCGCCGAAACCGAGCAAGGGCTCTGTCGTTCGGTGATCGAAACCTGATTGTTAGCGAACAAATTTAAATCTCGCAGTAATATCTTCTCGATCACACGTTGTGCCGTACACTTTTTAGCCCACCCTTATGTGATGGCCGTTCTTCCGGTGCGCAGCTGTTGGTCCGAACGCGTATCGTGCGGTGCACAACGTTTACATTTCCCCGGACGGGCCGGTCGGAAAGTTTGTCGGCGCGCGGCGCTATCGGTGCGTTGTTGTTTTAACGCGGCGTAGGAAAAAGGGGATTTACGCGTTCCACCCGGGCCACAAATTATTGTCCGCTGACCGGTCCCTGCGCACGGGCTTCGACCAGTGAGCAAACAACAGTCTTATCGTTCGCGCACGGTCAAGACCGATTTCGAACCGCGTAAAACATCCGAATACGCACCTTGTGATAACGATGATATTAGCAATACGCGGTTGTAGCCGCGGCGTTTGCGAACGGACAACGATAACCGCCCACCAGAGATCTCTCTCCAGCGCGTGCGATCCGATGAAATATACGACCGTACGCGCACTTAAATTATAAACTTAACGCGACCGGTTCCCTCCTCGCGTACCCGTTAATCGGCACCAACATGCTGCGCTTTCGTGACGCGATATTCGCGGCGGTATCCACGCGGTCCCGTGCGTCTTCGCTACTGCCCTGCGCGCCGACCCGTTGTGCACACAGAACGACGACAAACATTATGTTCCGGACTAAAGGGTTCTTCGACTTTTTCAATACGCGAAGCCTTTCGAGAAGGTACACAATTCGCGGTGCCCCAAAGTCCAGGAACGCCGACAACGTTGAACCGTCGTTGGAAAATTACGTATCGACGGCGTAGGTATCTAGTGTTTACGTAAACACAAACACTTTTGGTTCTTATCGATATTATTATCAACGTTTTACGCGCTCTAAATCATTTCCACGCCGTACGGTACGAACGTATTCTATACTATCTATCTAACCGCTGTCCTAGAGAAACGATTTAACGTGCCCAAAATTGTGAATTAAACAATCAACACTAATGTAAACACCGGTTTAACGTGAGTGGTATATATATATTACGTATATATATATATATATATATATATATATATACGTAATATATTAGAAATGCTTCATTAGTAATAACTTGATTTTACGCTGTGGCAATATTGATAGCATTGATAATATACTCCAATTGAAACAATAATTATTGTATGACCAATGGCCAGAGCTGCCGCGGTCTTTTTGTTCTTTTAATAAAAAAAAAAATAAATAAATAATTATTGTTGATATAAGACGTAGAGACGACCTGTAGGATACGACGCGCGTACCGATTGCTGCGACAGTAATAATATTATATTGAAAGTGAAAAAAAAATCGATCTTGTACCATGTAACCCATTCATGACGGCAACCGTAAAATCGAACCCGATAATTACTATTCGTTTTCAATCAGCGAAGGAAAAAATCTCAATTATAATCGTTCAAAATCCAACATTTTTATCGATCTTGGATAACTAAAGAAACGTATAATACGTGGTTGCGAAATTTAAGTGAAATCGTATTGTTGTTGTAACGTATATTTATACATTTATTCAAATAATAATCCAAAATGATTTAGGAACACACATTTCAGAATAACGAGTTTTATAATTAATATTTACTCGTACCGGCATGATCCAAGTACTCTTTTCAACTGAATTGCACGGATAGTTCATAAAATAACGACCGATTCAGTGCCTCAACATACGTTTTAAATACCTCTCGGTATTCAGACACGATTATAAAGATGTATAATTTTCAAGCAAATTTTATACATTTATAATTCGTAGTTGTTTCTACTATACACATGTAATTTGAATGTCAGTTTAAAATATGTTTTATTTTACAACTTAACGAGATGATTGTATTTAAATACACTTATATTTTATGGTCAATAAACTAATGCTAGTTTCAAACCCGTACATTACGTACAACTAACGATATCGAAAATGAATTTTCCACTAGTATGTTAAGTATAATATACAGCGCCGAGATACATCCGACGTATTTTTTATGAGCTTTTTACGACCAACATTAAACGTGATGTTTGCTGTTCAAAAACCTTTTAGAAAAAAAAAAAAAAAAAACAATTATTAATGCATAAAAATAACGTAAATTACATTTCACATAATGTAGACACGCGTTTTCCATCATAAAACGGTTTGCCGATTTACGGTTTAATTGTTTAAAATCGAATCACGTTTTATTGACCGGCCAGCATGCGTATAACATTTAACGTGTATTTCACTCCGTAATACAGACATAAATCCGTCTGCGATCGTATACTTTGGCCGTTTAGAAAATCGTTTGTCTTTTCCCGGGACCACGTACGAGTACATCACGGCATTAGTTGATCGACCGTCATAGTACATAAGTTACAGTAATTACAATCCGATTCACCATGACACGGTACACGTATTGCATACAGCAGTACACAGCGTTCCGTACACATAATATTCCAACGTTGTGTGTACAATGACCGAATGGAGGACGAAAAAAAAAATTGGATCGCGGTTGAACGTAAAAAGATGGCTGTTCCGTCGAACACGCGACACATGAATGTACGCACTGTGCACCTATATTATCGTGCAATAACTAGATTCTATATGGATCGATAGCCTGGGTCTAACGAGCGTAAACGCAGTGCGCCCGATGGTTTATGTTGATTATTGTTTTCTATTCGTTATCGTTTACAATTCAACAACGAAACCGCGCTACAACGTTTCTGTTGGTCGATATTCATAAGTGAAGTGTTAAGGATGGATATTGTTCCGTGTCGTTTTTAAACTTATTTGCGTAACATAAATCATAACCGCTGTCGGTTGTATTGACGTATATTCTACTCGTTCGCCTTGATCGAGTACTGCGTTTGAAATCGCGCCAATTATTTTTTACTCGCTAATTAAATCACGAACATTACATCATGCAACCGTATGGAAAAGAAAGGAAAATATAATCACGAACCGTTTCAATACCAAATGGAGCAATAGCAGGTACTTAAAATCGCGGGGTTGAGAAGGGGAGGGGTTGTCATGGAGATATATTGAATATTCCGATGTAGGACAATGGTTTATGTGTTTTAACTGTTCGTCCGTATTTTTTTTAACGCGTAAATATTATAGGTACGTGCATCATTATCGTATCACAACGTGAGTGTCAAAAGTTCTAACGAAAACAACATCGAAAATAATTATTATAAGAGCACGTATTAGTACACAAGTTTGTTAACGTTAAAATACCGATTTTCACGTAAACGCTTCCGACGACGCTCCGTTAAGTTATTGCGTGTAATATCACGTACACGTTCTCAGGTAAATATCGTAAACAATTAAAATAAAATACAGATTAATTTTTTTCGGTCGCCGAGACATCTAAGTATCGTGTAACCACTATCGTTATCGGTATGTAAATCGCAACGATGTGTATGGAAAACGAATCACCGAGTTTTCGACCTGTAGTGCGTCGTTGCACATTATCGCGCTTACATTTTCGTATTCATTTACATATTCATATTAATCACGCGTATATTTTCACCTATTTCATGGGATTCGTAGCGACGCGGTAAAAAACGAACAGTAGATTTAGGCGGGCGTTAAAAATAATTTAAAAAAAAAAAAAAAGAAGAAACCATAATTATCGAACGCATATTGTCGTATATTATAACAATATGCTGCGTAATGTTTACGGGAATTAATGCTGCACGGAATGACCTATGCAGCGTGCGCGCGAGTGGGCGGCCGGCGCGCGGCGGCGGTGGTGTTCACGTCGGCTCGGTCCGATGGGAGGACGATTATACCCCTTTGGGGGCAAAATGGCAGGGCTCGGCGGCGGGCGGTTGCCGGACGGATATTTAGCATGCCCACGAGACCCGTTTAAATCAATATAAGAAACCCTCTTATAACATGTATAAACATATACACACATTGTACGTATTTGTGCCTATATATACGGAACACATCTTCCGGCCCGCGTTTTGAAAACGTATACGTACATACGTATAATACCTGTGTGCGTAATTCACACAGTTACGTTTTCGGCGTCGTTGTCGTTGAATGGCGGTGGGGGGAGGGTGGAAGTCGTGGTGTGTTTTAAACGTTGTTTGTTAATGAGGTAATAACAGCGGGTCGCGCGATTCGTACGACGATAAAAATTGTTAATCGTTCGCGCGACGACGACGATCGGGTTTACGGGCACTTACGGAGTGTTTAATTTTAAATGCATGAATTTAAATAAAACTTACCCGAAATCGGTGGCGGCGGAGAGATGATGCTTCCAGCGTGAACGCGTCCGACAAAATGCAGCGACAAACGTTACGACGACACGTCGCAGGGTCCTCTGTCGCATTCACGCACATACGCACACACACACGTACTCACACATTTATATACACATATGTACATATACAAATGTACGTGGATACGTGCACTGTCATCGGCATTATTAAACGTACATACACCAGGGGTAATAAATAATAAAGTGAAAGTTTCCAAAGGTGAAACTCGTTTTCGGCGGCCCTTTGTTTGCCTTTTGCGCGGAACACCCTCAGGTAGATATGATATTCTCTTCACAATAGGCACCCGGGGACGTACCGCCATGATGCCGGCCTGCAAGCGGCGCGCGCGTGTGTGTATATAGGTACGCGACGGTACATATACGGCATACCTACCCCTAACACCGAGGTGAGAGAGTGAGAGAGAGACGGAGATCCGTTGACAATGCGCCATGCGTTTTTATGTACGCGCGGCAGGCACATTCACGATTCTGTACGCTCCACGAGCGACTCCGGCTAACCAAACAGTATACATACAGAGAGTGTATGGTAGGGCTTTGAGTAGCGTGTAATCGGTATTGATAAAAAAAAAAAAAAAACCAATAATAATTGTATCGCTTTCAAAATCCGGTAGCAAATATTTCGACACTTTTTTTCGGTGTTTCTTTTTTTAACTGTTTATTTTGCCATTTTTTGCCCTTTGCCGATCGCCACTGGACGCCCCGTATCATACACTCTGTGGTCATTCGCAATCAAAATAGAGCGTAAGAATTTTTTTTCCCCCATTGTACACGGTCGCGGTACGTATACTTAAAGGTATATACAACACCGACGTGTGTTTCATAGCATTTTCGCGCGCACCCCGTGAAAACTATAATCCTATCTCGCGTCCGAACGTGTTGTAAACAGTTCCGGTGTTTTAACCGTAGTACCATACGGGGGCTAACAGTTTAACCGTATAACAAAACGCATTCTATTAACCTCGTTGTATTTTATGTACATAGATGCGTTCCGTCCTTCGAATGCTCATGAATTCGTATATATTAACTCGAAACTAGTTGGGTCGATTACCGTTCCGTCATAGAGAACACATACCGATGGTTATTATTGTTGTTCTCTGTACACGGTAAAAAAAAAAAAAAAAAACTTTTTCGGGTACGCGAACCGCAGTAAACAGAATTATACCAACTCCTCCTGTGCACAAGCCTGTGTGAAAAAAAAAAAAAATAATAAAAAAACCTGTGAATAGGTAAAAGCGATTTATAAGTTACACGGGTATACACGTTTTTAATGAGACGGATGGCCGACTACTATTATACCGAAATGTAAGAATTCAAGGTCGGCTTGTAACTATATGTATATGTACACGCACACGAAAACGTACACATATAGCAATAATTAACGAGTATCGAATTAATATTTTGTGCGTGTGTATATTTCCATATGCGTACCCCGTGCAGCGTTCGGTGTACGGCTGAAACCCGTACGCGGTACAATAGAAAACCATCGTCAGACCCCGGCGGCAAGGTGAACGCGCGACGAACGACCGTCTTGCGGCCACAGCTACAGTACGAGCGGACGCGCGCGTGTACGCGTACCGTTGGCTGTGATACTTTTCCAACGAATAAATAATAACCGTAGGAAATGGGATGTTACGCGCGCGCGGAATACGTCGTCGCTGTCTCGACGGCCACTGGTCGCAACGCGAACCGACCGCGGGTTCTTCTTCGAGTGCGACGCCGCGGGCACGTCACACACACACACACACGCGTGCGTGTGTGCGTGTTTGTGTGTGCGCGTGTGTGCGCGTGTGTGCTGTGTCGACCGAGAGCGTCGTGTGCTGACCGAAGCGGAGAAAATAACGAACACGTGACGGGGTCGGACGGACGAGGAAAAGGTATCGCGATTAATGATCCGAATCAGAATTTCCGTTTTTGTTTTTGCCTACCGACATTTCAATACGCCATCGTGAAAACGGCTCGGTACAATGTACACCGCGACATAATGCTCGATGTGATACCGCGGTGCACGCGGACAACGGATTTCGTACGTATACGACCGCGAGTCGGATAGTTTTCGTTTCGTGCGTGTGCGCGTGTATGTGTATACAAACTAGTTTTTGTTCTCCGACGGGGGTGTGGGTGGGAGCGAATTACTTTGGGCAATACATCACCGGCAACATCTCAATTAGAAAGAAAGAGAATAGGCCGTTTTTTTTTTTCCTCCCGCTGCCGACGTCGACGCGCACCGCGCCGTACCGCTGTATACGTACGCGCGTTGATGCATGGCCTCGCGATCCGCCCTTCGGTCGACCATTTGTGTGCGCGTGAGTGTGCTGAAACTAATTTCTCTTCGGACGATATATTTATGTACATATATATATATATATATATATATATATATATATATATATATATATTGTACGTACGGGACTAGGAAAAAGTTTCGCCAACAGCGTTCGGTGGTGAAAAATATAAGTGAGCGCACGCGAAAAAAAAAATCGAGAACGATTTATCCGTTTAACTACACACACCTTGTGTTTACACATATTTATATCTCAAATTATTTTATATCCGTGTACGGGGTGGGGAAAAAAATTAAAATTGTTTCCAACCACACGCACTCGCGATACCGTCTTACGAGCACTATCCTCCTTTGTATATACATATATATATATACCTGTGTGGACGGAACCGTACGCATGAACATATGTGTACGTCGTTTACACTCGTATACCTATACTGTGCCGTACATGTATACGGTAGGTCCTTACATGACCACACGAGGAATGCGCGCGCCTTTCGGGGCGCAGGAAAAGTCTAGGCGTTTGTGATTTATTTCGGTCCGTTTCATCCCCCTTCTGCGCCTGTACGTGGACCAAAACTTTTAGACCGACCGAAGGAGTGGTGAAAGAGAAATGAAGAGTGAGAGAGGGGAGGGAATGAAGGACGGAAAGAGCGCGAGAGAAGGGCCCCTTTGGTATTGTGCCCAGATTACGCCAAATTGTTCGGCACACACTCGCGGACACGACCATATAACATCGCACGATATGTATGCCACGATGAGTATATATATGTGTGTATACAGGGTGCGCTGGGCGACGACACTCGGAGTCGTAAATATATATATATATATAAATACAAAGTGATGACCGAACCCGCGGTTCTTTTGGTCTATAAATTACCGACGAATTTACGCTGTGGTGGCCTCGGTGTTTTTCTCTCACACCGTATACACACACACGTATATATATATATATTAAGCTCGTATATTACATCCGTGTGCACTGTTCTTATACATGTCCCGATATAATTATTACACTTGACCTCCCCACACTCTTACCACCTGTCGTGCTACTCCCTCGCCTATGACTCGTGAGCGCGTTTGATCGGGGCAATTTTCGCGCCAAACGTGAGGTCATTATTATATCATACAATACATAGGTGTATACGCTGTTCGTGTGTTTGGTTTATACTTTTTCTCGTACGGTGGAGCGGCTGTATATTTCTTACACTGTATAGCGTACTTATATATAAATATTTTAAACACGTACGTTGCCCCGAAATCTTGTAAAACTTATATCTTTTTTAAGCATATTATTTGTTTTCGAAGGTATAAATGAAATTATAATTTACGAGCCGATACACACAACATATCTACTTAATCTGTAAGCAAAATCGTGTGGCAACCGGTTTTTTTTTTTTAATTAATTTATAATTACTCACCGTTTTATTGATAGGTACTAATGATTGTTAATTAAATCGAAATTAAATTTTTACCACGTCGTTTTTCATGGGCATAATATAGTATATCGATCAAAAACCGGGAAGTGGTAATTTTTCTGTAAGTATACCTGCATGATATTCGTTAGATCATCACGTGCTACCGCCACACACACAAACATACATACATACATACATATATATATATATAGGAATTTTTGGAAAAAAAGAAAGGCAAATTTTAGAGTTGACAATGTATTATATTTATATAGGTATCCCCGCTGTTGCCGCTCGCTGTGTCATAGCGTACAAATATATATTATTATACACATGACGAAAACGAACGCAATTTCCACTCACCGAGCGGAGAATACTTGTTGGAATTAACACCATGGAGAAATTTAGTGTACATTGCACATGTATAATAATAATAATAATAATAATAATAATGTACGCGATGTGCGCGGGTTCGTCTCGGAAAGTTATTGCCGAAAAAACATTGAATAAACGCGGCGAAATGGCGATAAGACAAACCACAATGCCCGGTAATGGATTCGTGTGTATACATAATGAGCTAAGTACTCACAAAAGGAGGCGATAGGCATTGAAAATATGCGCTCGTATAACTTAAAAAAAAATGGTATATATGTATAAATAAAGTATACAGTATACACACACGTATTATATTTATATACACCGCGAAGGGGGTGCGCGCATGCACTTTTTCCATCCTTATACATATATATATCTGCCGTCGCGGGGGCACGCGATTTATTGCTGGCCAGATAAAAACTGTGCGGTAAATCATCGTGGGTACACAAAAGGAGCTTTTTCTTTTTTTTTTAAACGATTTAATTTTTTCTCCACCTCTCCGTCTAATTTTGTTTCGAGTTTTTTTTTCGCGGGCTCGTACGATAAGAAGACCTTTTTTTTTAACGGGTCTTTTAATAAGTCGACAACGAGTGTGGCGTGCGCGCGCGCGCACTTTAATCGTCGGGTCGCTAGTATATATTCGAAAAAAAAAATAAATAAAACAACTTCCAAGGTGGTTGTAAGATCGGTGATCTTAATTGCCTGTTCTTCACCCCGACCGCTGCCGTCGGACTGTGCAGGACATGGCGGGAGCAGAAGAGTTTCTGCGGCAGCATAAATATATATCTGTTTATATGTATATGTGTATGTGTGTGTGTGCGTTTATGAGAATTGTATTTATAAGTTGTATACATATATATATATATATATATATATATATATTTATGTAGGGAGGTTATTTTTCAAATGATAAACGTCACAGCACCCGTGCCGCTCACCTAGTCACGCTAATGGAGTTCACTGTTAAAATAATTATTACAACCA